CCTCACCATTACATATGGCCATACCCATCTACCTATCCACCCACATACAGCCGTAGGACACATATCAACCTCGCCACAGCACGACTCACATCCCGTAATAACCATGTCTATTTCCAGCGTCAAACATATGATCCGATTCATCGTCGCTGTTTGGACCGGCACAGCGTCACGTTTCAGGGCATGTGCATGTCAAGCGAGCGGGACGCGTGCTTGGCTTATCTTTACAAACGAAATGACCAGATGGAGGCGGTACATGTAGACTGACTGTCCTATCTTCCCCAACCATTTCGCCAAATTATAGACAGGTAATTGACAGACTCGGACGCCGAGTGACACATAAAAAGAGGAAAGAGAATGGGAGGTCGACACCGGAGAAACTATTCTCGTGACACGCTGGCGCATTCCACACTGAGACGAAGCTGAAGCACTCAAATCTACCACAGCGCGCTAAATGTCCTGCATTGAAAGTTTGTCTATTGGCGGTAAAACTTGGTTTCCGTAGTCTGTACTGTACTTTGGGGAGATTGGCAGGAAGACTGAGAGTCAAACTAAGCGGTCATTAAAAAGGGAATATTTTTTATTTTCACTAGGTATTTTCCATATTCTCCAACTACAAAGCCTGTGGGGTCATATAATCTATAACACTCAATGAGCTGCGATGCTGCTTTGTTCGTTTAGCACAAATTTTCACAGTTAATCGTATTAATGTGAGTAAATTAGCATTGTGATGTACGAGCTCTGCAGCATGAAACTACAAAATCTCCTCAGAACGTCTGCAAAAGTTTCTCGTTTGGCGAAGCAAATAGACATAGATACGGTATAAGCAGTTGCGTTACAATTCAGGAATATATGTCCCAGAGACTTTGAACTCTTGGCTCTCGAACGTGACCTTATGATTCCCCAATCTCGGGCACACAATGCAGCACGTAAACGACCGGCTCGGATTGATCATTTCCGGCAGTGCTCCGCTACTCATTTGATCAAGCATGCTCATCCAAATTCAGGTACATTTGTGCACACTTTTGGGCGTGGTCGGTGGCTCTATACTTCAAAGGTGGTCACACTCAAATATCGTCTCTAACTCGTGACATTTTAGCGTATTTGGGTGTGTCATTAGAGGTACTTTGGGAAGCGGAGCCCTTTAAACTAGAGTCAGGCGGCTTAATTGGTTTCGCTTTGGTGATGACTGAAGATGAATGTAACAGCGAGTGAGAGTGGTCAAATCTGAAGAGCCTGCTCGTTTATACGTCTGAAAAATTGACACGCAGACCTCTTAAAAGTTATTTGCAAGTCACGACTAAGTCTAAGATTTTGCGGTGATAGGTGTGTGATAACAACCTTCGACAAAGCCCCTGAAGACACATAACTGGAGGATTAGGCGATGCTCACCCCGAGCAGCCGCGTTTGAGGAAGTGAGCATTTGGAATTGTTTAAATAAACTTATGTTGTTTGAAAAGCTATGCTTTCAGCGAAAACCGATTTCGAAAACGCTATGCTGAGAAACAAGGCAAAAGATGAAAGTAAACAAGCAGAATGACCAAATCCACTTCAATCGGATTAAGGGGTACTACAAATTGAGTACTCCTCCGTTTGATTCGCCATTTGGATATTCGCGTGAGAAATCCAGGTAATGCGTTTACTAATGCTTGTCGCTGCAGTATAATAGACAGGTTGCCATATCCTAAATTCCCCTAGGGATTAGAGTTAGCGTTATTGTTAGGGTCATGGGTAAGGGAGTAAGAGTTAGGGTTACTTTTGGAAGGGTCAGGGTTAGGCGTGTGGGGGCTAGCGTTAGGGTTAGGAGTAGGATGGGTCGGCTAAGGGGCAGGACTGAAGGTAGAGCACGGGACAGTGTACTGCGCGAATTTCGCGCGAAACCATCTGTAGCAGAAGGCTCCATATTTCCGTTCACGACCCTATTTAACAAGGTCATGACTTTGGAATGGTAAGCCGTGTACTAACGTCAGAGCATTATATTGCATATGCAAGGAGGAGCGGCGGGCAACGTTTGTGACGACATGAATGTATTTACTTGCCAGATGTTGTGAAATAAACCTGGTATCAATACCGCACTTTTAACTTTGAACGCCTACTTTAGGAGGAGGCACTTAGTGGTTTTTCGACTCTTTTAATAAAAACTCATCAGGGTCTGAAAACTTTCATGGACGAGTAGGAGATTTGCTGGAATGCTCCAATCATTTCAAAGAATCTCAGCGGCACTGCAGCATGCTGCCATGCGAGGTAGTTTTAGGATGAGAGTACAGGTTGTTAACATGTTATCCGCTTTGTAGAACATACAGACATCGGGAGATCTATGCCAACGGCGCGCATTCAGTAAAACAAATCTTTCCTTCCTTTACAAGTACAGTCTTTTCTCAGGCGTGAATTGAGGCAGAGAGAGGAATTCTTTTTATTTTGAAATTATAAATTTAAAATTGTCAGCAAAAATGGGCTCCATTGACTGCGGACAGAAACTAAGTCAATACATTAAATCAGGAGTCAAACGTTTTACACAAAAATGAACGACTACTATGGGGACACGTCGAACCTTTCTTTCTGCCTTTCTGTCACTTCACACGTAAGATATCACGCCAAGAATGGCAATAAGGAATGTTGAGATGCCGACGCACGACAAGAGACAAGTCGAAAACCACGCGAATGGGGCGGGACGACTTCGCAGACATTAGTTTAGGATGCGGGGAATGGGCAACGTCATCCAGAATTCGACCAGCAAAGTGTTTGACTGATTTGAAATGGCGTTGTAGGACAGTATCGACTAAAGAGAGATAGGGAACAGCGGCAGAGGAAGATAGCATCCAGAGAACTCGTTTTAAAATTAACAGCTATTTTTGAGCAAAATAGGAAAAGTGACGAAAAAACAATAAGGAATGGGAGGAAGAACGCAGGAATGTATGAATCTTCAGGTTAAGTGTTGAGGTGTGTGCTAGGAACGTAAACCATGAGTGTTATAAAAATATTTACGAATGTTAGTGAAAAGTGACTCAGTTTGGAGGGATAATGGAAGATTTGATGAAAAAATAACGCCAAAGTACCCGAAACAGAATACTACTTTGGTAAGTATGTCCAAAGATTCTGAACAAGGGGAGGACCGCAGTCGGAAAATACACTGAAATAATGTTTGATTCTTCTTTAGGAGACCATTGACCTGCGACAATACTGAGACGTGGTCAAGACTATCCTTCAGAGAACAGAGGTGTGTCCGATCTGGGGTTCTTCTTCTCCGCAAGTCCTGAAAGTAAAGAATTCCATCTACACTTTTCGTAACCAAGTTGGGAGATTATCTCAGTCTTGCTAAAATATACTTTACATTTGCTTCATGCTTTCCCCCTTTTTGTGCCGCCTGCAAGATATTTAATGAATAATTCGTATAAATATGTTCCAGAAACAATTAAAGTGATAAATCTTGCGAAGTTAACTTAGATATGTTTATAAAAACACGCATTCTAGATTTCCTGACCATTTCTTCCTGTAGACTGAAGAGGCGCCTTCAAATGCTCCGTAGGCCGAAGTTGTGAATTCCTTTGAGCACCAACATCCCGTCCCGCTGGGGGGAATCACCCTCAGGAAAGCATCCCTGATAAGTAGCAAGTTCTCAGCGCAGCATGCATGATGGAAACTGATCCTTCTTATTGAGTAAGGTTTGTTTTCCGGCTCGCGTTTTGGTTCATTATTATCTGTATGTCGACACGCAAAATGTTCATTTGTTAAAAAACTGTCCAAATAACTATTTTTGGTTAATCTTGTGGGCATGCAGGGAAATTGATATATATTCCAGATAATGAGGCTACCTTGAATGCTACTATCATCATCGTAAAGTGTAATAGGGATTTTTGGGCGTCATAAACATTTTTAAACTTAATTACTGTAACATTAACCAACAATGCTAGTATGCCGCATTTTCTACCTTTGTCAGAAATTTGGGAACTTTTTTCATCCATTAAAGGTCTTTTTCAGAACACCTTCTTCCAGTTATTGTTTCATCAGTTCATATCAGGGACTTAAGTCACTCAGTTGACCTGAAACTATTATTAACGCAGTATCATGTGATGCAAATGCTTAGAGAATCAAACACCAAACGCCGCTTTGCTTCAGAGGTGGATGCGGGATCACGCCGACCTCTAAATGTATCAGTTGCATTAAACAACTGAAGTGGCATCCACAGAAGCACCAACCCTGATTCTGGACCGCACCCTTTCTGACCTATCAGAATTAGGGTGTGTGTGTGTCTGCTTACAACGCAGACTCAGTTTGTAACTCTCTTTTGAAGTCAGCGCAAATGAGTAGGCACCGGCTGCCGTTGAACGCCTTAAAAGGTAGACTGGACTGTGTATTCGCTAGTCATAGGTGAGGAGACAAACGAAGTGAGTAAGTTCGCAGACAACATGCTTGACAACGAGATGATCCCCGTCGTAATCGACAACGGCTCCGGCCTCAGTAAAGCAGGATTTGCCGGTGAGGATGAGCCTCGGTCAGTCATCTCCTCGGTACTCGGATATCCCCGTTATCCCCCTGTGATTGCAGGTATGGGGGAGAAGGTAAAGTACATTGGGGAGGAGGCGCAAACTAAACGTGGCGTCCTCAACCTTAGATATCCCATTGAAAATGGTTTTGTGGTCAACTGGGATGACATGGAGACACTCTGGCACCAGTTATTTTATAATGAACTCAGGGTTGCACCGGAGGAACATCCAGTCCTTCTCACGGATCCGCCACTGAACCCAAAATCCAACCGTGAAAAGATGGCTATCATTATGTTTGAGAACTTCCAGACACCTGGGATGTACGTGTCCTTGCAACCCGTACTGTCGCTCTACGCTACAGGACGAATGAGTGGACTGATTGTGGACTCTGGTGATGGGGTCACTCACGCGATTCCCATCTTCGAGGGATATGCAGTGCGGGCTGCCGTCCGGCGAATGGATCTCGCAGGTCGAAAACTCACGGAACATCTCATGACCCTGCTGGGTGAGCGTGGCTACTCCTTTAAGACGACCTCAGAAAGAGAAGTTGTGCGTGAGATCAAAGAGAGCCTGGCGTATGTGGCTGTGGACTTTGACGAAGAAATTGTTCGTGCAGCCACCACCTCAGCTGTTGAAAAGCACTACATCCTGCCGGACGGACAAACGATTACCGTGGGTAATGAGCGATTTCGCTGCCCAGAAGCTCTGCTAAAGCCAGCCCACATTGGGATGGAGGGCCCCGGCATTTGTGAAATCGCCTTCACGGCGCTTCGAGCCACAGATCGCAGTATTCATACAGAGCTCTATCAAAATATTGTTCTCTCTGGAGGATCCACCATGTTCCCAGGCCTGCCGGAAAGAATGGTGAAGGAAATTCGCTCAATTATGCCTTCGAAAACAAAAAAGGTACGCGTAGTGGCCAAACCAGAGCGGAAGTTCAGCGTTTGGATTGGAGGCTCCATTCTTTCATCATTGTCAAGCTTCGGGAAGATGTGGATTACTAAAGAAGACTACGAGGAAGTTGGTCCCGATATAGTTCACCGCAAGTGTCTCTAACGTGTATCGTTGCACTGGTATTTACCAAAGAACTTGACGTTATTTGTACAAATCGGGACTTTTGTATTCATTGCTTCGTTCTCTTAACTGAGTATTTACATGCGGTATCCTTTTATCTAAAATATTCTGAAATATTTTTGGTTGGATTTTCGTCTGCAAATATTTCAAAATGGTGGAATACCGATCCCATATGTCAAGCCCTTAGGGTTATCTTTCGGTTTCATCTTGAGATATTTGGAATATGTGTGATGATCTCATGTGAACCAAATCTCCTAACAACCAACTAACACAGACCACATCCGAAGTTTTTATCGTTAAAGAGTTGACCCAATCCTCCAAAGCAAGAGGGACCG